CTAACGATGCAATCGGACACACTTTACTTAAAGTGGACCTATCATGCTATATTTTAATAATATATTGTAGGGCCATACCTATATAAAATATGTCTGCAAAGTTTTTTTTTCAAAATACCAAACAGATCATGCATTTTAGCCATGCCTTATTTTGCTCTATTTGCTCTTTTTTAGCCCTGTTTTTGCAAGGGCTGAATCTGTGAGAAGTCTTCTTCGCTGCTTTTGTGGCAGACTACAGCGCCACCTACAGGCCTGGCATATGTACTACAGTGTCTCCAGCGCTTTCGAACGGCAATGGCCGTGGCTGTCTCCTCCTGATAGGTGGAGAGTTGCCCATATAGGCGGAGCTCCTCGTTTCTGACGTCAGAGATATTTCAAATCTGTATCAGTCTGTATCAGATCTGTTGCAGCCCCTTTTTTAGAGATTTGGGTATGGAGGAAAAGAGAGAGGGTTGTGTTTTCTGACACTTGGTGAGTTCCCTGACACACCAGGGACACACATTCATGTATAAAGACGTACAAAAGTGCATTTTGCATGATAGGTCCCCTTTAAACTTATATCTTAAACTAAATGCATTTAACTTTTACTTAAAAACGGCTACTGTGCAGGTAGTTAATAATATTATATGTACTTTTAAACGTGTCGATTCCACTCTGGACAGATATAACTCTGCATTTTGCAATGTCTGCATTATTTATTTATTACTGTGTTAAAATTATATATTTATAATCTGCCCTCTTGTCAGCCTCTATAAATTCCTTTCTCACTTTCTCACTGACTGTCTGGCAAGACAAACACACACACAGTGACACTTGCTGTTACCTAACCCTGGTACTTAAGACATGGCATAGCGTTAATGCAACATATCAGGTGAAATGTCAGGACTGGAAATGTTCACAGGCCAGCACTTCATGCCCCCACAACAGGGCCCCTTGGACCTGCTCCGTAACTGTGGTACGATAATCAAACTGTCTCACTTTAACAAGCTCGCTAATTCATGAGTATGGGTTCAGGGTTGGTTTGTGAAAGAACTTGGAGTGGTTCCTCCTTACAGATGATCTCTTTATCTCAATTCCACTTTAATACGATCTAGAATATATATATATTTTGGCACTGAATGCTAGAGTAATTGAACTGCCACTAGGATCAAGGGAGGGTAAGGGAGAGGTCAAGGGTGTAAGGCAAGGCAAGTTTATTTATATAGCACTTTTCAACACAAGGCAATTCAAAGTGCTTTACAAAAAATGAAAGAGATTAAGAAAATGGCATTTAAAATCAGTCATTAAAAAGAAAAGCTAATAAAATAAACATTAAAAGAAAAAAATACATGGCAGTCAATTAAACATTAAAAGAAAAAAGTACATGGATAAAAGTTACAGTGCAGTCTAAGATATGAATAGTTCAATTAAAAGCAGCGACAAAAAGAAAAGTCTTCAGCGTGTAGCTTCAACGTTTCCAGGGAAACCTGAACCAACACCTTGACTGGATGATTATAGGTGGAAGAGTGTGTGTGTGTAAGGAGGGTGCATGGTCAGTGGGTCAGTGTGTGTGAATAGTTGTATGTCTGCTCACTTCTTGTAACGAAGGTAACTTCGTTACTATGGACTGACAGCTTTGGGCCCTTGTAATATTGCACATGTGGGTTTGCACTTTATATAACAACTTCCTTTTGCACAGAAATAATGTCACTCAGTACTTTAGTAGTGAACAGTTTGCACTTTATTAGCGTGATTGCACAGTACAGTTTGACATTGCATATTTGCACATGTTTACATATTTTATACTAATTATTGAGGTAGTATTTATGAAATGATTAAACCGTATTAATTGGAATGTCGTCTGGCAGATACTGGTCAGGTCCTCGGCTCCACCTGAAAAGAGGGGGGAGTTAGCGAGAGCGCCGAAAGTGTTTATGATTGTGTAAGATTGACAGCGGTTGAGATTAATCATGTGTGCAAATAATATGTATTGGCGTGTATATAACATGACGTTAAAGTTGCTTTTGATTGTATAAGTGGACACTGTAAAGTTTACATCTATCACTCACCCATGTTGTTTCGTCCTGTGTCCACTCCAGTGTGTTTGGCCAAAAGGTCCTCGGAGGGAACAAACACTGACAAAGAAGGTTCCGGGACGAACCAAGTGGCGAGATAGGTATAGGGGTTTCTGTCTTAGTTGGGAATGTAGTTATATTTATTGTGGACAGTTATAATGTTGTTCTTGTGTTCAATTAACAGATGGCTATGAATAACTGATAATGCTAGGTAAATTATATTGTGGATCTTCTTTATAATAATAATAATGACACATGTATTTATCAAGTGTACCTGTGAATGGTTTCTCCCAATCAAATCCTCTATAAAAAGAGCCAGTCTTCAGTCAGAGGAGGGCGGTGAACCTGTACAGAGAGGGGTGAACACCTACATGCTGGCTACTGTGCTCTTGTGGTGTTTTTGGGAATAAAGTCACCATGGTTTGCAATTCTACCTCCTCTCGTGTTCGATTCTTTCCCTGAAAGTCCAACCGCTAAAGGGTCGTTGTCTCACACTTCTAAATCTAATTTAATCTAAATCCTCCATTAGCTTGTGAGGGATTCCTTGTATCTCCCATACCTCAGTTCTTCAGGTAAAAAAGCAGCCTTGTTTTTAGCTTAACGGCTTTGTACGCATGAGGATGCGTAAAAGGTTTCACAAGCAAGGTTTATTTGAATTTAAGGTATGCCAGTGACAAAAAATGAGTTTACAAGGTTGTAATTGGTAAAACATGATCTGCACCTGTGTGGATGATATATGAAGAGTAGTCAGTGCAGCCAAAGAGATCAGATACATGAGGCCTCATGTCCCCCTGTAGACCCTCCTTATTCAGTGGAAATGAAGGGCTTTATTAAAGTGATCACGACGTTAGGGCAGTATTCACTTCCTTATACAGGCCAAATAGATTTATCATGTGTAGGCTACATTTATTTTTTTTACCTCGGCTTGTTATTTATGAGTTCTCCGGTTTACATTTTGTATGGGCAGCGGTTCACATTCTGCGGTCTGTCGCTGCTCCTGCTCTCCTGACCTCGCAGTCCTCTCATTCTGTGAACGCTGCTGACTCTCCCTTTTCCCCAGAGAAGTCAAGGATCAAATGTTTTCTGGCAAACAAATTGCACAGTAGCCACCCCTGCATCCGTCGCAGCCTGGGAACCAGAGCGCCGAGGTAATACTGTGAATAAACAAAGCTGCATACACAAGCTAGCAAGCAGTTAAACATATCATGCATTTAATGATGTCAGGAATTATGTCTTGAATGTTGTTGTATTATTGTTGTATTATTGTTGTATTGTTTTAAGTGTCGGACCCCAGGAAGAGTAGCTTTTGTCAAGAGCAAAAGCTAATGGGGATCCTTAATAAACATAAACATATGCATACACGAAGAGCCATGTTACATTGGCTTAGGCTGCAGACATTTAAAGCTCACCTATTATGCTATATTTGAACAATATATTATAGGGCCATGTCTTTACAAAAAATGTCTCTGAAGTGTTTTGCTCAGAATACCAAACAGATCACCCATTGTAGCCATTCCTCATACCCCTTTATTTCAGCCCTGTTACTAAAATGCTGATTCTGCGTCTGTAGCTTCAAATGTAACCCAAGCTGCTGCTGGCCATGCCCCCGTTGCAGCACGCAGGCAAGCTGTGAGCTCTGTGAAGAGGTTATTAGCTAAACGCTGCCATGATTAAACGCCTTATTATGTTCCAAACCACATCAAGGATTATTTCTGAAACAGTTTGGAGCTCAAATGCTTTTTTCTCTCTCAGGTTTACCACAAGGTGAGTTCCTTTTTATATCCGGGTGTTTTACACATACTCTCTCCAGTATAGGTTAGCTAGTGTTAGCCATGCTTGCTAATGTAAACAAAGACCATATTACTTCCAAAACATGTTGCGCATTCTTTCTGATACAGTGATGTTTCTGAAAGGGCCGTGGGTGTAAAGCCAGCCCACATTTCCGATATTACATCATATCGGCAGAAAATCTGAATCAGCTCCGTTGTACCCCCGTTTTTAGAGATTTGGGTATGGAGGAAAAGAGAGAGGGTTTTATTTTCTGACACTTTGTGAGTTCCCTGACACACCGGGGACACATATTTATGTATAAAGGACATCAAAAAGTGCATTTTGCATAATAGGGGACCTTTAAAGAACAGAACCTTTTAAACAATTAAATACCTTAAGGATTGTTTATTGATTACAACATTAGAATGACTAGATATGCAGGTCTTTATTATGACCCATGTTGAAAGTTTGCATACTTAATCCATGTAAAATGATCTGATATACTGTAGGAACAACACACAACATAATGTTGTTCCTCAAAAAAGCTGATCATGTTTACCTTTTAGCCCAAATAAATAGAATCAAGTGAACATTTGGCAAATATAACGGGGCATTATTCCATATCAGCGGATCTGATGACCTGTTGAATGTATCTCCTGTATTGTGTGTGGAGTACTTCCCAAATTGCATTTGAATCCACTAGCACTGTCTATGTATTTTTCTTTCTAAAGTACTGTTTCCAGATCTGTGTCAGAAGGCAATGTGGTCCACTGTGTGCTGAAATCTCTGCAGTAGGTATTCGGCTGATTTCATTTGCATGTGAAACCGTGTGTCCAGTGTGTGACTTGGCTGCTCTGCGAGGAAAAGGGATTAGAGCCGTGAGCTGAGTGTTGAGAGGTTGTAGTGTCAAATTCACGACAGCGGATCTATTTTTGAAAACATCTGGGGAAGATCTCCAGATGGTCTTCACTGTGTGTGGACGCTTGTTCGTGTGTGCATGTGATCTATTTGCATTGGTGTATAATCTTACAAGTATAATATTGAGATACGACCATACCACATTGCCTTCATGGTTTATTAGGTCAACATACATCTTTAAAAAGGTCTTGAATATGAATAATATTGATGTATTGTGTCATCAAACTGTTCATAATAGATACTTTGACAAAAAAAACGTTTTATTGCCATAACATTTTATTTTATAGACTGCAAAATGTATTTTAGTGCACATACATATGTATACATTGAATGAATCACACACTCATTTAATTGTTATTAATTGTACCATACAAAGTACAAGATTACATGATTTTTTGTTATGTACAAAGTGCTACAGCAAACATGTCAAGTGCTAACAAGCTAAAAAACTTGAGTTAGCTAAAAGCTGCTAAGCGCCCACCACGTTTACAGTTCGTCTGAACAGTACACGGGCTACTTAAATATATGTGTGCAGTGCAAACATATCTACTTTCATAAAGTGCCTTTATATAAGTTAATATTTACTAATATTTGTGCTCTTTAAAACAGTTTTTAAAGCTTGGAGCCGGATCAAAGTATTTGTGGCACCTCTCAGCCTGCTGCTGACGTGTTTACGGCTCTAAAAACTTGGCACTAGTGCAGTCTATATACATTTCATAGACTATGATGAACACACCAACAACTTTAAATTTATATATAGATGCTGTGCGCTTAAGATGGTATCTTTCACAAGGATATAATGGCATTACAGCATAACAGAACAAGTAAACAGTAATGATTCCCATGTATGCAGCTGTTCCACTTTTTTTAAGTCCTTTATTCTGACATTTATGATAAAGGTATTAAAGCTAAAGAAAAAATTCTAATTCATTTATGTATATATTAAATATTAACTGCCAAAAAAAACTGCCATCACCAGTAGCTCTTAAACCTTCAGAGAGTTGAGAATGATTATTGTTTTCTTGTGTTATAAAAAGTAGAAATGAAATTAATTTACAGTCACAAAAACAATGGAAAGCAGCAAAAATCTGTTACTTGAGAAACAGTGTTTTTAACTTATTGCACAATAGCCAATATAAAATATGTTTGCTATGCTACGTTTGCTTCATCATTTACCAGCGTTCTCATTATTATGACTCCTTATCTCTCTTCTTTCCCCACCATTTCTTTCATGTTCCTGATTGGTCCTTTCCCTCTGATCTTCTTCCTCTCCTCCTCCAGCCTCACCCTTTCCTTCTCCATCACCCAGTCCCCTCCAAGATAATTCAGCGCAATCTCAGGTTGACCGCGAAACCCTGGCCTGGGGTCTAGAAGCGACTGGAAGAAGGAGCAGGCCAGCGGGGTGAAACATGCAAACTGGGCCGCAACTGGAGGTCGATCTTCCTTTTCAAGTTCTGCCTCGTATAAATCAATGACCTCCTGTGCATTCTCCCTTTGTGGCTCTGCCCACACATCCAGTAAATCATTGGGTCCCTCTGATCTGTCAAACCATTCCCTAAACTTCAGGTATGAGCCGCAATTGCTGGCTGTTTCAGCCCAGGGATGACTGCCGGTGAGCATGGCGTAGGTCAAGATGCCCAGGGCCCAGCTGTCCATGCTGGGCTCGACAGAAACCCAGACCCTTTCATTCTTTTTCTTCTCTTCGTCTTTTTTAACGGCATCACGCCCGTCACTAATGCTCCCCCAACTATCCTCATTTCCACGAGCAATTTCTGCCTCAGGGGTGCAGTAAGGGGAGCTGTACCAGACCTCCGGCACCCTGGTGCCTGTGGCCTTCACCTGGTGGAGAACATTCATTCATTTGACACTTTTCTATAACAAATTGGTGACCACAGAGAGATATGTCACAATACAGTAATATAATGTAATCAAGAAAAGGTTACAAGCTACCTTAAATTGATTAAAATCCTTTAAAGGTCACCTATTGTGCAAAATCCACTTTTTTCCCATTACATTACATTGCATTTAGCTGACGCTTTTATCCAAAGCGACTTACAATAAGTGCGTTCGACCAAGAAGATACAAACTTGATGAAAACAGAATCATATAAGTAGGTTTCATAGAGCCAAAACATTTGAAGTGCTACTCAACTGGCTTTTCCATGTCTTTTATACATAAACATGTCCCCCTCTGTGTATAGAGATTCTGAAAGTTTCAGGAAAACATATTATTTTTGTCCTGATCCATTTATATAAAAACCTGTTTGAAAATGAGATGATCAGATTTTGGCCACTTTATGATGTCATAACGATTATTTGGCTTGGGTAACCACTAGCCAATCACCAACCAAGGTAACACCCCCCACCTTATCACCTGAATCTCCTCCTTTCATCTAAAGTAAAAGACAGAATCAGCACTTTTGAAACAGGGCTGAAACAGAGGGGTTTATGGGATGCTACAATGCATGATCCGTCTGGTATTTTCAAGCCAAACACTTCAGAGACATGTTTTGTATATATATGAGACCTATAATATATTGATGAAAAACAGTATAATTGGGGGCCTTTAAACCTATAAGATGGCTTGTTTATGATTTTCAGAAAGACCCCTTTCAGAATGCCCTGCCACTGAGTCATGGCGTTCTTTTATCTAAGCTTGGTTAGTGGGCTTCAGCTTCTTAATATCAACAAACAAGGCACCATTTAGCATCTGTATTAGACACACTGAGCTTTTCAGGCAACACCATCCCTGTCAATGATGGAACGTTGAAGTTTCCTAATGCAGTAAAAATAATGTATAATTTCTATACCAACCATGCCAAAGTCTCCAAGTTTGACCCAGCGGCAGGCGGAGTCGCACAGAAAGACGTTCTCTGGTTTGACATCCCGGTGTACAAAGCCAAGAAAGTGCAGGTGGGATAGAGCCCCACACAGCTGGGACACCACCCGCTGACAACAGTCCTCCTCCATACCGACCTGGTGAGGAAAACGGGTTGGGGATGTTGGAAGGAGATGGATATGTAATTCAGCATTTCAACAAATTGTAGAAAACTGAACAGGAACAACCTAATTCATACAATATGTTTTGTGCTATACAACACATGAGAGCTCGATTGAAATCAGTATATACCTCAGGCAGGATGACATCGTACAGATCACCAAAGAGGCTTGCTTGCTGAGCGAAGACGTAGTGTGATGGTGTGGAGTAGGCAATTCCCAGCGCTCTGGTCAGGGACGGGTGGGTGCAGAACGACAGAGAGAGGTTGTACTCCCTCAGGAAAGAGAAAAGAGATGTGGACTCTCGAGGGAAGAACTTCAGAGCCATCGGTGTACCTGGAGGACACACAGGAAAGTAAATAGTAAGTAAGTAAATCGTTTTTTTTTGTTTCATGGCACAAAATGAACATTGGATTCCCCATTACCATTCTGCTTGTGTACAGCTAGCATGACTTTGCCATACGAGCCTTCACCCAGGAGCTTTAGGACCTTAAAGTGCTCCGATGTGTCCATTGGTGTCAAAGACTGAACAGACAGATGACACATCTCATCCAGAAGCTTTGTGGCAGCCTGGATACACACAGAACAAAAGACAACCATCAATGTGTTTGTTTGCAGCAGAGTTGGGCTCAGGGTTAGTTGAAAGACTATGAAACCCGAAAGGTCTGGAAGACATTCTGATATGTTGACATCTGATCAGATGAGGTGTACTAATCACAACATTATTCCGGTTGTAGAGACTTTTGACTGACGTTAACAAGCAAAATGACTGAATAATGCTCACCTCCCATCTAAAGCTAAGTCTCCAAGATACTCCCAGTCTCAAAAATTAACCGGCTCACAGAAAAGGAAGTTTTTGCCAGAATATATTCTGGCTACACCCCTTAAAAATGTGGCAGTGGCCTCCAGAGGCTATCAACCTCAGATGCTACTGGGATTCTAAAGGTAAGTAAAATAGGAAGTCAAGTCACGTAGTACAACAATGGCCACATAGGGATGAGGTTGCGATGGATGGATGTGGCAAAAAACTTCAAAATAAAAGGTACTAATTTTAACCCAAACTCTTATTTTCCTAAACAAACAAAGTTGTTTTCCTGGAAAACAAATTGACAAGCAGAAAATAATTTGTTTGATTTCCTGGTATGACATCAAAATCCCTCAGTGACAATAGGCCTTTGACTTTTGACAATCGTCTTTAAAGGCTTTCGGAATTTCACAAGTGCATGAATCATGCAGTGGCGGCCGGCCCATAGGGGCGCTAGGGGCGCCACCCCACCTCTTCCCACATACAAAAAAAAAATATTAAAAAAAATATTTCATTTAAAAAAAAAAATTTAAAATTTTTTTTTTTAAAAAATATATATATTTTATATTTTTATTTTTAATGAACAAGGTAAATATCATACAATTGGTATCAGTAAAATGTATAATCTACCATAAAATCTCGTTTAAAATTGTGTTACGATGTCTAAAGTTACTGATAAGTCACATGTTTCCTGCCTGGCCTTGCCCATGGCATTAGTTTATCATTACCGGGCGGAGCCCCCGAGACAAACAGCAGCAACCAGCACGTTGCAAAAGTCTCAATAGTAAACTGTGCCGCCGAAACATAATTTCAGCCAATCAGCGCCGTCAAATATTTTGGTCACGAGGGCGCTCACGTTGGCGCCCACGTTGCTTACGTGCGTTGACGTGAGTTGTTTTTTAGACTCGTGAGTGACCAAGGTGACGCAGTATTTGGATGAGAATGGTGTGCAGGTGGAGTCGCCGGACCTCGGTCCACACCCAATTCCGTGCAAGAGCTACTCTCCAATCCTTTCGAAAGGAGAAGTTTGGGAGATAAATTGATACTTAAAGACCTTGGACCGGACCAACCCGATTTGTATATATCACAGTAAGCTCGTGAAAAAGACAAAACGTATCAACCAGGCTTCTCACGTAGCTGGTACACCAGAAAGACATGGCTAGCTGGATGCAAACAGGTAAATGCTATCTTTTGTTTCCCATGCTTGCTCTTCCAACAGCCGGGGACAGATACGATCTGTTCAGAAACTAGACAAAAGTTAAACAAGTACAAACCACATACTGTCTGTGTCATGGAGAATACAGTCGCTGGTTTATTTATGTCTGTATAGGCCGTTGTTGTGAGTGTGGACGGTCGGAACATATATAACGTTAGCTTAGCCAAGCTCCATTCAGAAAACAAGCATTCTAAAAGGTTTTTCGCCTGCCATCTGTCTGCAGACTTGTCAAAGCATTAATTCATGGTTTTTACTAACCGGTATCAGTATGTTGTTACGTCGGCATCATTTAGAAACGTGTATTACAATTTAATCACGGTAAAATATGTTCATTTTGTTGTAGTTGTAGCTCCCGAGCCAGCGCGTCTTGTTTGAATGATGCGAGTAAACACAGCTGGCAGCCGCGGTGAAACTCGAGCGATTGAGCGATGCGATAGGAGCGTTTAGAGCGAAGCCAATATTCGCATCCCGTCCGGTCTGAACGCAGCATTAAAGCGAGCTCCGCGCTGCACTGGAAACACGCCATTACATCACCAGAAGTCCTAATTTAAGGGGTCATTCTCCCCAAAAAAAAATGTGTACTCACTATATCAACAGCCGCCACTGGAATCATGTTAAACCAGAAGTCTACATTTAACCTGAATAACCACAACATTAAATGCTTGTTTTCAGAGTGGAGTACCTTGCAGCTCTTTGGAATGTAACGCGTAACCCGAGATGAGCTACCGGTATTAACATGTCCGTTAATAGCCTCATGAAATCCTGTCACACACAGACACACTGATCTTTGTTTTGTCTGGTGGTACGTCGATGTTTCCACCACAGCTGCCACATTTGGGTCCAGGCTTGGCTTTGGTGTCACCGCACATCCAGACATGGGGCAGCTCATTACAGCTCATTAAAGGACAACTCAGAGCTGTGAATGTGCAGCACTCAGATACTGTGAATTCCCAGCTGAGGCATCCTTCACACTTAACAGACACAAACACTTGCAACATGTACTTGGCCACATTTTGTGATTAAATGTTTTCCAGCTTGAAATTTAAAACTTGAAAATACAAGGGTTTAAAATGCAGGGAATTATTATATCTCAAATGACTTTCTAAAATCAACTGAAACAGCAACTAGAGATGTATTTAATCTGAAAATGCGTTACAAAAAAATAATACTTCAAACCATTACTCTAAGATCACTAATAAAGATAAACCAATTTTTCAATATTTTTTTTTTCAAATTGCTATGACAGTGCAGCATATACTACAGTGTTATGTTAGGCGTATGTCTGATACACGTGTGAATGCATTTTGTGCGGGTGATCTCACAGGAAACTGAACTCTGACCCTCTCAGTGTTTTGTCTGGACTCTAATTACTGAGCTATTCAGGTCTGTCTGAAAGAAATGTGTTGAACACTTGAGGTCAATATCAAACGATTCGGCTAACTGGCTAACTTTCTTGAAGAGAGCGCTGAACTTAGTCAAGCTATAAGCTTGGTTTTTGACATGGAGGAGGAGGAAGACAGTTCATCCTTGGAGTCATAGAGTGACTACTTGGATGATGAAGTAGAGGACCCTTCGTTTGTGACAACGAGAGGTAAGACATATTTCTTTATCTTTATTTTCTTTCTTTATGAAAATGACCGCAAAAAAGGAACAGCACTTCATGATCGATTGTTCAGGGTCAAGCCTCTCATTGATGACATCAGAAGTACTTGCCAGGCTCAGAATCACCCAAGAAAGGATTTGGCTGTAGATGAAAGGATGGTAGCAGCTAAGGCCAAAACTGGCATGACTCAATACATGGGGACAAGCCCACAAAATGGGGGAACAAGCTCTTCGTGCTGGCTGAATCAAGGAATGGCTACACACAATTAATTGTAATATTTATATTGGGAAAGCACACACACACACTGCACATGGACTGTCTTATGATGCTGTTATAGAGCTTATTCAGCCATAATATCTCGGCACAGGACACAACATTTACATGGAAAAAATGTCTAGTCCAAAATTGTTCCATGACTTGACCAGCATGAGGTTTGGAGCGTGTGGAACGTACAGGGACCCCAGGAAAGAGTGTCCCAGTGGGCGAGAAAATGCGCTCGTGAAAAAGTCAGAAAGAAGTGCGTTGAGATGGATCAGAGAGGGCCTCCTGGTGTTTGTGAAGTGGATGGACACACGGGAAGTGTGTGTGTGCTTCACAATCTATCCGACTTTTTCAGGTGAGGCAGTCCAGAGGAGAGTGAAGGGTGAAGATGGACACTGGGCAGTGAAGGACATTCCTTGCCCCACCCCCATCATTAACTACAACAAAAACATCAGTGGAGTTGACCTGCCTGACCAACTCATTCAGTACTACTCCACCCACTGCAAAACAGCCCGCTGGTATCGGACCCCCTTCTGCAGGTCTCCCTTGAAAAAGAGATCATTGATCTCATTGGGATTTTACCTGGATAAATAAAGGATTTGAATTGTATTGAATGCACTTTGTAGACATTGCCACAACCAATTATTTCATCCTGCACTGTGACGTCAGCAACACACAGCAGGTCACATGACACACAAAGACTTCATGGCTGAACTGGTGTCCCAGCTGTGTGGAGTAGACAGGACTGTCTATCAAGAGGAGCGCTCATCATGTTCCTGTTGCCATCACCGTGGCAACAGATGCCAGTGAAAAGGCCACACAAGGACGCAGGACCTGCCAACAACACTGCCATGAAGTTATCAGGAGAAGGAACCTCACACCGTGGAAGTGCAAGGCCTGTGATGTTGCCCTCTGTGTCATAGTTCACAGAAACAGTTTTGAATTGGTACAGTGACACAGATAAGGATGAAAGAAAACTGATTTTCTTACATGAGGTATATATATTTGCATATTATGTATTTGTTTATGCTTTCGTCAGTCAAACTTTTGCCTAATCAGAATGAAATCCCATGTATATTGTTTAATCTTTTAAATGTTTTGTTGTGCTTTCTGTGTCATAGTTGACAGAACTTTGAGGAATGAGGGAAAAACGCCTATTGATACACCTGCTATTTGTTCATAACATTTGTATATAGGTTCATGCTACCTCGATCAAACATTTACATTATCATCGTGACATCCCATGTATATATTTCAGGCTTTGAAAATGTTTTGCTGTGCATGTTTGAGTTACACATAGTAAAAATGATATCTTTTTCCAAAAAAATTGTTTTTGTGATTTTGGGTCCAACATGTTCATGTCAAAATGAAAAATATAACTATCAGGTTATATAGGCGGGGTTTTCCTAAAAAAACAAAAGTATGCAAAAACTGCCAAATTAGCCCCAGATTCCAGAGGTCCTTAAAACAATTTTTTACAAAATCATCACATTTGGAGAAACTTGTTTTTTTCTGTGTTGAGGATAATAATGAAGCAGAAGATTCCAGCCCATACGTGGAATCATTTGCACCATTGTACTGATGGTGGGAATAGAAAATGCAGCCACACATTGCAGAGGATTAGTGGGTTAGAGTGAAACCAGCCAGCAGCATAACTGACAGACTCGAGGCTGATCGTGTTTGGACGAGTGTCAAAAGAGGTGGCGCCTGTCTTCAACAACTTCCCCGTCAGACGCCACGTTGCATAAGAGACAAAATGTTCTCTACCTAGAAATTGATCTCTGGGGATTAAGTGTGATGGATGATAACATCATCAGCTTGAGAGCTAGTGAGTAATATTAGTAGTAGTAGTAGTAGTACAAGTAGTAGTAGTAGTAGTACAAGTAGTAGTAGCAGGTAACATACATTTTGTAATAGTGACTACTATGAACACATTTTGAAAAAATATACGAGCATCATAGCAACCTGCTGCTTTCCTTTGACTTCTGGTGCATTTTGAATAATTATTTTACAATAAATGTTCCACAAGTTTTTCAACCACCATTTAGGTAAATTATGTAAATGTATTCCAAAAATGTATAGAACCAAATATTGATATATATTTTCTTATATATATTAAATGAATAAAGATAAAAGTGTACAGTCCATATGGATATACATGAAGTATATTAGTGTCATTGATTTAGCATCTCATAACACATCAAAACATACTTGATAAATATTTGTTACGAGTTTACTTTGTTCTTTATTCAATTTAAATCACACTACATTGAACTTGCCATCATTTTCCAGTTTTTAGGTAAAGCAAAGCAGTGCAAATGTTGTAACATTTTACAACATTTCACTTGTATTGCATTGACATTGTGGGGCAAATGCACATTTAGGACTATAATGATCATCGTGATATAATCTATTGTTGTAATATAATAAAACAAAAGTATATTAAATCCTATGACTTCAGACATTGATGATGATTATTTAAAAATAATCCTAATTTATAATTAAAAAATACATTTACAATCTATACCACATAAATCAAATTATAATCAAATATTATCTAAGTATAGTCCACACAGAAACAACATCCTACATCTGATCATACATTATTATTTAAATTCATAGAAATGTATTTTTCTCCAATGTACTTCTAGTGGAGTCTCACCATGAAGATAGCTCTGCTTTTATTTGTCCAGTTTATGACATGAGTCTGTAATATTCTGCTTTGCAAACAATTACAGAATGTTAGTTTACCTTTAACATGGGGGCTCAATGCTGTGAGCACCACAAATAATATTCCATTCACTTTTCATCGAATACAGAAGAAGACTGATGTTTCAGATTATAAATCCTCAAAACTATCAGCATGTTATAGCTACATGCAATTAACAATGTTCTTCTATTTATAAAAGTCTATGAAGACCTTACCTACGTATGTTTCGGAGCAGTGAGCGAATCCATGCACCAGTTTTTACTTACTGTCATTTTGCAGCCGTGGTTCAGTTCAGCACCGTTGACCTTCAGTTAGATATCTGTACAGCATAAATAATCTTCATTTAGCAGGTGCACCTGTCAAATCTCCCATGGGTCCTCATCTGTTCGGTCTTCTTTCCACCTTAAGTATAAAACTGTGAGTCTCAGTGTGCGGCAGACAGAGTTTGGTTGTCCGTAGAGGAACTCTGCACACTGTCCGGCAAGCTTCCTAATGGCTTTGCTGTTGGCTGCAGCTGCAACTTGTATCCCAAAGTGATCTGTCCTCACCTCCACTCCTCCCTCTGGGTCCTGGAGAGTGCCCTGTGTGTGTGTGTGTGTGTGTGTGTGTGTGTGTGTGTGGTTCTACTTTCCATCCCTCATTTCAACATTAACTTCTCTCTCTATCCGGGATAGAGAGAGAAGTTAATGTTGAAATGAGTGCTGGAATTGGGCCGGTACTCACCGGTACGCAGTACCGGCACTTCTGGTTCTGACCCATGGAGTACCGGCACTTCTTGCTCAGTACCGGCATGCTGGCAGTACTCCGGTACTCATGCACCGTGCCAGTACTCAACACTCTCCCGCCGTTCTTATTATACATCCATATATATATATATATACAGCCGCCCGGTACTCAGTAGATGCGTCATGAGGTGCCGAACGGACATTCTCATCGCTCTAACCGCTGGAGTTTCACAGCGGCTGTCAGCTGTTTACTCCTGTCATTCAAACAGAACGTGCTGGAGAGGGGGCGGGGCTTATCTTCTCCATGTAAATACTGTGGTGGAAACGACTATGTCAAAATTAACCTATTTGACCGTGATTTAATAGTAATACACGTTTCAAAATAATAATAATAATAATAATAATAATGCCGAAGTAACAACATACTGAAAACTGTTAGTAAAACCATGTTTTAATGCTTTACAATTTACATACCTAGATGCACGTGTGTTGTGTTTATGCAGTGCAACTCCCACCCAGTGGGTGGCTATGTAGAGTGATAGAACAGAGCAGGCACGCCCCCGAGAGAAGGAAAGCAAGTCACGTCACAAATGAGCATTTCTAAAATGTTAGCGTGGATTAATAAAAGTGCAAAAAGACAGCGGTTGTCGCCGGAAGAAACTTCAAATACAGAGAATGCTGTGCCTGTGTTGGAAATTGTGTCTGATGGGGAGCTTTCTTTGGTTGATCCTCCTGCTTCAAGTTCTAGTGCATTAGCATTAGCACTAGCTCCGCCGCCTCCTCCAGAGCCTCTAACGTTAGCTGCTGCTGGCGCAACTGCCACCACCAACACCGGGCAAAGCGATGCACCTGACTGCTGGACAACGGACCAGGTGCAATATTTTTGCAAGACCAATGCATGGCTCCTTCTTAAAGATAAGAAGCTAGGATGTCGGATATGCAGAGATGTCAAATCTTTGGGAATACACACTGGACAAGGACTGAAACTGTCAACTGAATGGGGTGAGTGTGCAGTGTCTCATTTCGGTGTTGACAAGGGCAAACAACAAGCTAGCCTGAGAAAAAAAATCAAAGAACATAAAGAATCACAAGCCCATGTAAAAGCTGCTGACATCCTTACATCTGCTTCACGTGAAACTATTCAACATCAAGTGCAGTCTATGCATAAATCTGAATTAGACACCACTATCAGAGTTTTTCGAACGGCATATAAAATTGGCAAACATAGCCGGCCATTCACAGACATGCCAATTGATTTGAATGTACAGAAACTGAATGGGCTGAACGTGGGCAGGGTTTTGCACTCCAATAAAACCTGTGGCGAAATCATCGACCACATAGCTCATGAGCTGAAGAAAAAAAATGGCAAAAGACATTACAGAAAACCAAAGAAAACTGTGTTTTGGTCGATGAATCTACCACTATTAGTGGTAAAACGGTGCTTGTTGTGTGTCTACGCTCAGCATTAGCTGATGCTGAGCCCGAAACGTTTTTTTGGGAGCTGATCGAGTTGGATGGAACAACGGCTGATGACATCACAAAGGCGTTAATGGAGTGTCTTGGAAGAGATTTTAACGAGGACTTTTTAGGTCAGTGTTTCGTTTCTTTTGCATGTGATGGGGCTTCAGTCATGCTAGGGAAGAGAACAGGCGTTGCTACCCAGTTGTGTAGTAAATTCCCAAGCCTGTTTGTGTGGCACTGCTCCAATCATCGTCTAGAGCTGGCAGTTGGGGATGTGGTCAAGGAGGTCTCAGGGCTCAATCATTTCCAGATCTTTTTTGACAAACTCTATTCCTTGTTCCATGCCTCCCCCAAAAATCAGAGGCAGTTAGCGCAGTGTGCGCAAGCAGTCGGACAGCGTCTCCTGGTGATAGGGCGTGTTTTGTCCATCCGCTGGGTGGCTTCAAGTGAAAGGAGCGTCAGAGCAGTCTGGGAAAACTACCGAGTGCTTCATGATCACTTCACAAATGCTGCAAACGACACGAGCAGGGATTCCAGAGACAGAGCAAAGTACAAGGGCCTGGATGATGTGCTCACATCTGCAACGTTTGTCAGCAATCTGGGACTGATGTACGATGCGCTCACAGAGCTCAGCGACCTCTCTCGGCAACTCCAAAAAAGAGAGATGACACTGCCTACATTAGATAGGCTCTTAACTCGAGAAATACGAGTTTTTGAATCCATGGTCACCATGCCTGGCCCACACATGACTACAGTTCATACAGCTCTAGCTGAGAAGTCCTTCAAGGGTGTTGCCCTGCGTGAGAATGGCAGGCTTGTACAGATTCATGCAGGTCAGTTTTTCCGCAGTATATGGTAGAGAATCTGAGACACAGAATGACTTCCACAACCTCCTCTCATGTCAGCACAAGAGAAATCCCATTACATGGCCGGGAGGCCCGGGACAATCAGCTAATCCAGGACATGAAAGTTATCCATCCTGGAAGTTGGCCTGAAGAGGAGTTAGACGTACAGTATGGGGACGTAGAGGTGCTACGTTTGTGCGAAGTGCTGAAAGTGGACAGAAGAGAGACTGTTCAGGGTTTTCGCAAATACAAGGAAACCAGGGCATCCCGTACACCTGCTGCCATGGAGCCTCTACTGAAAGCAGTCCGAACCATCGCTGTCTCCACTAGTGAGTGTGAGCGGGCCTTCAGCTGCGTGAACGATATCCTTACTGCAAAAAGGAATGCTCTCTCTGTCAGCCGACTGTCCAGCCTGGTTTTCATTAAATGTAATGGACCATCACTAGGATAGTTCAATCCGGAACAGTATGTGAGGTCCTGGCTGGCAAAGGGAAGGAGAAGTGCTGATGAAAGAGCCTGTCCAGCTCCAGCCCCTGATACTGATGTCCCCAAGGCCTTCTGGAGCCTTTTCTAACAATGTGAAGTATATTGCAAAGCAGCTCACCCAGTGAGAAGACTTTTGGCATAATGTGCCGATTTGTACAGATCCTGGAGATAGAAGGACTTCAGACCAACCAGGGAGTTATCTGATCAGCTTGGTGTTCAATGTAACTCTTTACCATGGCTCAGACTTTGTTACTTGCAGTTTCTCATTTTAGATTGTGCAAATTTTGCATTTCTTTTTACATGTTCTTTGTTCATGCTCTTTATCATTTTTCTGAGTTGGAAAGTTAGATTGCATCATAGTTTACTTTATACATATTTGTATTCTTCAGTGGTGAAGTATATTGCAAAGCAGCTCAGCCATGTGAGAAGACTTTTGGCACTTTTTCGTTTTCTGAGTTGGAAAGTTAGATTGCATTCAAAATGTACAGAAATACTTAATTTTGTTAAAGCTTTTTATAAAAAATGCTTCTGACCAGAGCTTTGTTTCCTTGTCATTAATGTTGAACACCACCAGAGGGGCTCTCACCTGAAAGGTCTCTGCTTCATGTGTCTTCAGCAGAAGATCTAGACTTTGATTGCTATATTTTCAGTTAATATTGACCTTACTGAGCTTTAGCCATATCCGCTGCCTATCATAAAAAATGTTAAGTACAGTGAACCTTTCTAAAATATACAGTAGTAAAGAGACAAACCCACCAGCATTATAGTAGCCAAATTCTTGTTTGTGGGCTGTATATATAAAATTGACTTGAAAAAGTTGCTGATTTTAGAGTACTGGCACCTTTTTCATTCCAATTCAAGCACTGGGGGCGAAGGCCATCGCGGGCGAACTCAGGGGGCCGAGCATGAGGGCGAGGACAGCGGCCGGGAAAGTCAGGGGGCCGGGCTCGAAGGCAAAGGCCGCGGCAGGAAGAGTCAGGGGGTCGGGCTCGAGGACGAGGGCAGCGGCAGGAAGAGTCAGGGGGCCGGGATCGCGGGCGAAGACCACGGCTCACAGAGGGCCGGGATCGAGGGCGAAGACCACGGCTCTCAGGGGGCCGGGCTCGAGGGCGAAGACCAGAGAGCTCCAGAGGCCGGGCAGGAAGGCGCTGACGGGCCAGCGCCGGAGGCCGGGCAGGACCCGGTGTCGGCCAGACAGGAACCAGTGGGACAGGCCTCAGCAGGATCCCCCACGGAAGAGGACCAGGACACGGGATTGGCAGGACCCCCGGCAAGACAGAGGATGGCGGGGGCCTCCAACGGAACAGGACAAGGGGTTGGTAGGACCCCCGGCAGGAGAGTAGTCGGCGGGGCCTCCAAAGGCACAGGAAAAAGGGTTGGCAGGACCCCCGGCAGGAGAGTAGTCGGCGGGGCCTCCAACGGCACAGGACAAAGGGTTGGCAGGACCCCCGGCAGGAGAGTAGACGGCGGGACCTCCAACGGGACAGGACAAAGGGTTGGCAGGACCCCCGGCAGGAGAGTAGTCGGTGGGGCCTCCAACGGCACAGGACAAAGGGTTGCCAGGACCCCCGGCAGGAAAGTAGTCGGCGGGGCCTCCAACGGCACAGGACAAAGGGTTGGCAGGACCCCCGGCAGGAGAGTAGACGGCGGGACCTCCAACGGGACAGGACAAAGGGTTGGCAGGACCCCCGGCAGGAGAGTAGACGGCGGGACCTCCAACGGGACAGGACAAAGGGTTGGCAGGACCCCCGGCAGGAGAGTAGTCGGCGGGACCTCAAACGAGACAGGACATGGAGTTGGCAGGACCCCCAGCAGAACCTCCAACGGACCAGGACATTGGGTAGGGACTTGAGACGTGACTCGAGAGGGGACTCGAGAGGAGACTCGAGAGGGGAACCAAGGGGGAACTCGAGAGGGGACTCGAGAGGAGAACTAAGGGGGAACTCGAGAGGGGACTCCAGAGGGGACTCGAGAGGGGACTAGAGGAGAGACTAGAGGAGGGACTAGAGAAGGGAACTCGAGAGGGGACTCGCGAGGGGAACTAGAGGAGGG